CTGGCCATGTTTAATGTTTTTCAAGTAAAGGTATAAAGTGAACAAACTATTTGAAATATCTGATATGAAGAAAGAAAATTTAATTGCCAGAGGGCATGCATACTAACCAGAGATAGAGAAAGGGGGGGAAAGTACACCCTTATGGAGAGTGGTCACACCACAATCTTCCATTTATCCATCTATCAGGAGCCAAAGCATGCATATGCATAAGCTGACATGTGTTTCAAAGTAGGTACCAGGCTAGAACCACAGTGAGTCGTGTGAGATTTGTCTTCCTTAAACACTAAGCTGTGGAACCTAGTTCGTTTGTTCATTTGGTTTGTTTAATAGTGTATGTGTCAGAGAAAACAGAATACTTGCCTGCACAGAAATAACTACTTCTGCTAAATGGAAGTTCAGAATATTCAATAATGGAACTGAAATTGTCATGAGAAATAATTACCTTTTCATTTTATTTTCTGTCTTTTTAATCCATCATCTATGTTATCTATTATTATTCTCTGATGGAGCATAGAGTGCATTGTTTTCTGGTCTTAAGATAAAAAGATAATTGAACACTTTAAAACCTCTTGAATACCCAATGAAATCAAAACAAATTTTGAAAACAAAAGCTCATATTAGGTATTTAAATTCCAAGTTTTTATAATGCAAGCACTTTATAATCATATTCATTTAGGTGTAAATTATTTTTTATATTTCTCTAATAAATCATACTAAGTAAATAAGAAAATGTTGGCACTGATTATTTTGTCATAATAATTATTATTAAAATACTATGGTGCCTTATAAGATCTAGTCCCTTTTGTTTCGTCCTAAACTTTTCACCCTATTTCCTAGAATATTTACACCAAGCACTATAGATAGGATTCTATAGATTCTAATAGTAGTACAACATCTTACTTGATCCTTAAAAGCGTGATTGGACATTATGGTCCATGTATTATGAATGTGACATTGAAAAAGTTCCTTAAACTCCCTACATTTGGTGTCTGTTTCTCACATCTTCTATGATACTTGTCATACCATATAAGGGTATTGGGAATAAAATGGAAAAATGTATATAAACATCTTCAAAAGATACTGACACATTATAAAATATTAAATATTATTGCAGTATTGCCTAGAATCTCTTGGTTATCAATTGAAGTCAGCATTAAAGTCCAGGTCTATCTTCTGGCCTTCTGCTTTCCAGGCTCCTCATTGCCCACAAGAACATTTAAAAAGTATAATAAAATACTCTATGTTCTCCTTCCTATTTATTTTTCTAGTCCTAACTTTTTCAGTCCAATACTCACTGGCACTCCAGCCAAGCCAAGTATCTGGCAGACACCCTCCTAGTCCTCCAGGGTATATGCTGTGTTTAGAAGCTCCACCTGTCCAGTGAACCCATACTCAGTTTTCAAGAGCAAGCACAGGTGGCATATGAGTGAACTGTGTGGTACCCCTGCAGTTAAGACCTTCTGCCTCTTTATTTCCAAAATATTTTCTTCAACTCTTTACTTTTTAAAGCTTATTTACTTCTTCCATAAGTGAGACAGATACACAGAGAGACAGCATCCCCAAACAGGGTCTTGACACCACAACCCACACCCAATTTTAGCCAGCTCTGGTTCACGGGTATGTGCCTAGTGACTCAAGAATGTCTTCAGATTTGAACCTAAAACCTTCCCATGTGGGCTAGTCTTGCAAAGCATCATGTTGTATAGCTGCGCCACTGTCAGGATCCTCTTTGCTTAATTGCTATCATATCATTTGTTGACCATTTGTCTCTCTCTTACACTAAACTGTACATGCCTTGAAGTCAGAATGTTTTTAACTCAATTCTGTGTTGTCTGTCCGTTTATTAATATTTGTTTAATTGATTCTAGACTCAATTTTCTCTCCTTCATATGCTTGGGATGACTTTGGCAGTCTATATAGAATGAGGGCTCTAAATAATTGTTGATTAAACATTTAACCTGGCAGATTTTGTTCCCCTGGTTAAATATTATTTCCCACTCCTTGAGAATGTTTTACTTGTTCACCTGATGATGGACACGTAGGCTGGCTAAACTATACATTTTCTCACAAATATGCTCAACTTTCTGAAAAGACTGCCTATTTCCCCACCTTCATTTCCTTTGAGTCTCCCCTTGTTCACTGGATACTGGCAACTCTTATGTTCTTCTAGTCACTAGACACACCACACTTTCTTTCTATGGCATTTTCATGTGCTTTACTGTGCTTAAAAGAGTCTTTCATGGCCCATCTTCCCAAAGCTGCCTCTCTCCTCTTTCAGGTCTTATTAAAGATCAAATTCTTTCGCAAACATGAACATTTATTCTCCTTCCTAGCTCCCTGAATATTTTTTGGATCGTGATTTGTACTAATTTTTATTTATTTGCTTAAGTTTGTCTGTTTCTCACATTAGAAGTAGGTTACATGAGGGGAAGGACCACATCTGCCTTGTTAAATATTAAACAAGACTTCACAATAATCACACATTGAATGAATAAAGGAAAGGTGAATATAATAAACATGGATGTTGGTCCCCGTCATGGTGGCATGCTGGTAAGCTCCTGCTACACCACAGACAGAGGCCATGCTGGATTGATACTCCAGGATCAGGTTTCATTCCCCGCCCATTTCCAAAGTTGGGTGCAAAGACTGTACCTGTAGTCCTGGCTACTTGGGAGGCGGGCTGATTATGACAGAGCAAGACTCTGTCCAAAATAAATAAATAAATAGCACAGATGTTAAATTATGGAGTGTCTATCATATATAATTTTTTAGTAAATTGAACAGTTTCAGACACCAGAGACATCATAAATGGAACCAGTCAATCACTCAGGTCATTTGCCAATCATTTGTCAAGCAAACTCTGTATAGCACAAAATGCAAGTTGGCCAGTATATAAACTGTGGCTTTCCGTTACACTCAAGATACTGAGAAAAAGATCAGATGATTTGGTCTTTAGTTCCTCCCAGGTTTAAGCAACTTTCCCCCTTGTCCACTGCAACCCAGCCATACTGACCTTCTTCCAATGTTTCCATTCTCTTTGCTACAAACATTACCTTCACTTTACTCATTAGAAAAGATGCACAGAGCAATTTATCTGATTCTCTCATGGATTCTGCTCTAAGCTTAAGCAAAGTTTTTCCAGTGAATGTATCCATTACTCTGTGCCCTTTATTACCAGAATATTTTTACAATAGATACCTATCTTTCCACATTTTTCTAGGACTCCTTTGATTTTCTATAAACCACAAACACAGACACACACACATACACACACATACACACACATACCCACCCACACACACACACACACACACACACACAAAGAGAGAGAGAGAGGGAGAGAGAAGGAGAGAAAGAGACATTTTATTGGGAGTATCCTAAAGCAGAATGGAAGATTATTCTATGGACCACTGTCATTCTTGACAATAAAGTGTATTTGCTTCGGAGATCATGGTGGATATTTGAAAGACTATGAAAAGTTCATTAATGTGATAGCAGAGTGCCTCAAGAAGTTGAAAGAAAAGGAGGAGAAAAGTTAAAATATGAAAGTAATCAAGTTGAATTTCATTTAGTTCATGATAGTCCTTTAGAGAGTCTTCTGGGTACTTAAATTCTCTAATATTAGAATGTCTTTTGTAATATAAATAGCATATTTTTATTAGGTGTTCTAATAAAAAAATTAAAAATTAATCTTGGGGCAGAAAAAAAGTAGAATTTTACAGTTTCTCCTCCTTTGGCTAACAAGAAACTTCTTGTTCCTTGTGTTTTGACTACATTAACATTTATGTTGTTTGCATATACTTGGTAAAACTGCATTGAATAGTGTCTCTCGAAATTCATTAAGACATATTTTACTGTTCCTCAGTATGAACTTGATGAATGCAGCTTGTTATACTTCTCGTGTGACTTTATAAACACAACCCAGCTGTATTCATCTTCCAAAACTGAAAAACGAGAACTAGCTTTTCTCCATTTAACTTTCTCTAAAGTTTCTGCAAGATGATGCTCATGTTACAGTTAAATATCAGCTGTATAGCTTTTTCTTTCTTTAGCTATTAGTCCCTTAGCTGTAGCTTTGCAATCAAAGAGAGATCAACTGTATCTAAATAAAAGTATGCCAGAATGTCTCTGGCATAAAGCTCTCCCTAAAGATTTCAGTAGTGTTACTTCAGGAGAGGAAATAAAGTACTGTGCTTTATCCAAAAATCTAAGAATTTAAGTCACTAAAAAATAACACCAGGTTATCCAGTAATCCTCATAGAGAGATACGTAAGCACAGGATCTTGGTGTTACTCAACACATTTTTCCCCCACTAAATTAAGAAAGCACTAGGAAACTTAGAGAAAACCTTACAATATGTACTATTGTTGAACCCTTGTCGTATTGATATAAACCAAAGAGAATGTCTTAGTTAAAATTTAATTTGAGCATCACTGTCATTACACAGTATCCAATTAATTTTGAAAGCAGGTTAAGGCCAATTTTAGACAAAATTATGAGATAGATAAATGTAGATAAATGTAGAACATCTTTCTATTTAGATGTGAAGCTTCTGAACGTCTTTGCTAATAATATTTTTGTGTTTGCTTCATCAGCACATATTCTAAAAGAATTCATTGTTCTGTTCCCAATAGTAGGCTGAGGTGGGGTGGTTCTTGTGGGTATCTTCATTTACATGTCCTATAGGTAAGTCCAGGTCTAGGTTGGAACCTGTCATGAAACCCAGAGGCTTCCCATCATTACTGCGAAAGGAACCCTCATGAAGTGGCTGTAAAATCTCACTTTCAAGAGTGACCACTCTCTGATTGTTAATATACATCCTAAATCAGATGTCATTTAGAATGAGTCCACTTTAGGAAGATGCTTATTGAATCCCTCCTATTTGCAAATAATCATAACAAGTGTGAACAAGATCTCCATCAGGTACTGCCATCAATTTCCAAATGTTTGATTTACTTGTAATTGTTTCTTCTCTCTTGCATTCTTATTACTTTCTTCAGGCTGGTGGTTTGATGCTTGTGGCCCCTCCAATCTAAATGGAATGTTTTATACCGCGGGACAAAACCATGGAAAACTGAATGGGATTAAGTGGCACTACTTCAAAGGGCCCAGTTATTCCTTACGTTCCACAACTATGATGATTCGACCTTTGGATTTTTGAAAGCACAATGTTGGAAGCAATAATAACAGCAGCCCAAAAATCTGGAGAAGCTATCAGATAAGAAACTGCTTGAAAACTTCTGAAGCAAACTATATTGTTTCCCTTCCTGCATGAAGTGGTAGAATGCAAAATGGCCAAGGTTCTTGACTATGGATTTGGAGCCTTTTGAATTCACCAAAATCTCTACTTGGGTTTGCCGTGTTCATGAGGCTTGACTGTAGAGAATGCCACTCATGCTGTTTCTAAAGGGAAGAAACTGCTCAGCTTGCTGTGCTTCAAACTACTACTGGATTTTATCTTTGAACTTTGGTAGTCAAGTGATAAATACAGTTTATTTCATGTGAAACTGTAAAAGAACATGAAGAATAGAAACAGACTACCATACTTTTTTGGAAAAGATGTATTACACCCATGAAATGGTGTCGTATCTATGCAAACCTAACTACAAATAAATTTATACTGTTGCACAATTTTGATAAAAGTTCAGAAAGAGCTGTGTTACTCTCTAAGTTGGTTAAATGTTAATGAATTTCAGCTCAATTCCAATAATACTTAATAGTTGATTTCAGTTAGCCTATCTTCTAATGTAAATTTCATTTTTGTAAGCCATAACGAATTGTAGTAATTGGAGAATGCCAGTGTGAAATAGAAACACACCACATTACTCTTTGATTTTTTTTTTTTTTGGATACTGTTTTCGGAAAAAAATTAACATAATAAAGTAAGAGCATACCAAGTTAAAAAAAGAAAAAAATCTTATCTCCCCATGCTACAGTTTCCATTTACTTCAATAGCTGACTGATTCATATATATTTATAGTCTGAGTAAAGTTTAAAGAATGTGAAATATATCATCAAGTTCTTGAAATCATATACATGCATTTAATATTTTCCTTGATATTATACAGGAAAGCAATATTTGGAATGTATTAATTTGAAGTAAACTGGAGCAATTCATTTTACAGTATTTTCCTGCATGCTTATCATACATGTAACTTCTTCATTTTAAAAAAGGTTTTAGATTTTCATTTTTTCCATTCTGTTATTTCATGCTAATTTAATTTTGCTGATTAACTGAAACAAGCTTCAAATTCACTCCATTCAGTTCTATAAAGAATACACTTTAAAGTCTAAAAAAAATAAAAGAAGAATTATGAATATCATTGTACATAACATGTTTATATCTAATAGTGGTTTAATCTGGAATATGCAACATTGTCCTTTATTGATGCAAATAAACTCAAGAGTTCAAAGAAATCTACCAGATTGCTTAATGAAATATATTACTTTTCATATTTTTCTTCTTTAGGCCCTTTTTCCTTGGGCAATTTCTAGTTTTAAAAAATTAATGTTAGCAGAGAAAATGGGCAAGACCTCTGCATTATACATAAGGGACACACACAATCATAGTTACTTAAGAAAATTCTAAATTATAGCTGTTGTAAACCTTTTAATAGAAATATTCCTATGGGATAATCTATTTACATTAATTTCTGGGCACAGATTTTTGTGACAACTTGAAGTTATTACAGTATTTTATCAAGAAGTGTTCTCTGCCTTTAAGTGTTCAAGGTTACAATAATGAACAGTTTTTATGGAAACATGAGTTTCTATGAGATGAGAAGTAGAAATAGATAATGGATTGCCTTTCTTAGAAAAGGAAAAACTTTTTTCAAGATAGGAACACCAATTTCAACATGGCGACTTGATCCATTATGCCTTACTGGTTGTTTTCTTCCCTCCATGTTAGAGCAGAAAGTTAACCACAGTTTTTAGAAAATATTTTTTGACTTTTACCATCAGGTCTCTTATATTTGTGTCTGTATACAAACTTTCTTTTGTCTTACAAGTATATTTTTAGGTATTACACAGTTTTTCTCTTCTTGGTGGCTCTTCATAGCACTGTTACATCCCACCCTCTAAAACTCTATCCGTTATTTTCATTTATGTGAAGAAATGAGTGTTTAGTTCTTTGTGTTTGTGTTCCTACAGATTTTTTAACAGTCCTTGGGCAAGGTATATTATTTCCCAACTCATATTATAAAAATAAAATAATTAAAAAGCATGATCCTTACTGTTTTGTTATCTGGGTTTGAAAATAAAATATTTTTTCCAATTATTTATAATAAAGTGGTATAAAATATTTTATGACTCCATATGTGCATTGTGTAAGGCCTAATGTTTGTGGCAATTTAACATGTATATCCTTAGCATTTATTTCAGGATAGAATAGATATTAGAAATTTGTTTTAAATTTTTTATTTCAAGAAAATTCATGTGATTTTTATGCAGTTATATTCATATCAATCATAATATTATTTGATCTAAATAAAATTGAACATAATATTTGTGTAATTTCATCTCATTTTAAATATATATTTTACAAAATTTAAATCAGAGAGCTATCAAAATATAGAATTACTGATAAAATAGCCAGACCAGTTGGTGATAGTTAAGGCATCTGGGTCTCACATAGCTAAGTGGTTTGGGTCCTGGACCAGGTAGCATGAAAAACACTCTGGGCCCATATGTGTGCATGCCTAAAATCCTGACAGGAGGAAGAAATGGAGAAGGGATTGCAGCATGATTATTCCCCATGGGGGTACTTTCTCACTGTCCCTCTTTCTCTGTCTCTCTCTGGTAAACACATATGCCTTCTAGCAAAATTGAAAAAAAATTATATAGCCTCAATCATTTGATAAACTTTAAGACTGGGATGGGATGAGAATGTTTAGCTCCATTCGAACGGAAGACCAAAGCAAAGGGTCTAAGTCCCACAACCCTACTCTATAATTGTTTTGTCCTACTAATTATTATTATTATTATTATTTATTTTCCCAGACAGTACATGCACTCACCAAAGAGACAGAGAAGTAGAGAGAGAGAGAAGGAAAGGGAGAAAGAAAACACACACACCCCCGGCCAGTCAGGTGGGATCTAGCCTCAGTCCTTTTTCCTTTATTTCTCCATCCTGTTGGGATGTTTTCCAGCCACCGGGGCAGGTATTCAAACTGCTCTGTTGGGCACATAGATGGCACCTCCCTTAACCACCAGGCCATGGGGTCAGCCCACACTCTCAATCATTAAACATTGTATTATTATTGGACAATTAATAAGCTCAGGAGAACTTTGAATTTAGAATACAATGATGTGTGTTAAAAACCTGATTTTGGTACAAGGGAAAGGGAAAGGGCATAAAGAACATGCTACTCAGCCCTGGTGCCTCTCAGCCTATTAGTTTTTATATGGCATCTTTCCTTTGTCCTTGAGTCTGCTCCCTTGCCACTGCATTGAACCCAACCTTCACTAATTTCCACTTAGATGATTGGAAAAGATATTCTTTATCCTGCCTTCCCCTGCTTCTATTCATCATGTACCCCCACCCCCCTTATTCTTTCTAACAAGAATAAAGTCGGACTCCATAACATGTTTCTTCCCCACTCAAAACCCATCAGTATTTCCTGACTGCTGCCTGAATTTCAAATAAACATGCTGGGTTAACTTTGGATTGCAGGTTAACCTCAGACAGTTCCATTCTACCTACTCTGTATTCACATCAAACTGCAGATGTCCCGTGGTAGACTACTTGTGAAAACAATCCTTATTCTCCATCTTTGTGTATCTATTTCCCTCACAATATGACTTTACAACCCATCCCATAGAGAGGTAGAATCTATTTCCTTATTCCTTGAATAGCTGACTTGGGACTTGCTAGAGCCAACAGAATGCAGCAGGAGTGACTGTGTCAGTTCTAAATTGGGGTCCCAAGATCCCATCAGCAACATTCTACCTTTTCCATGAGAAAAAGCCCAGAGTAGTCTAATGAAGGATTAGAGACCACATGGTGTGAGGCTGAGTGTATCAGCTGAGACCACCCTAGACTAGACAGCCTGCAGCTGACCTGTCAGATAGTCCCAGATACATGAGTCATCTCTGCTAAGATCAACGGAGCTGGCTCAGAACAACAGAACTGTCCAGCCGACATCCATAATTATGAGAAACAATAAGGAGCTATCGTTCTAAGCCCCTACATTTTGGAGTGTTCTGCTAAACATCATTAGTGTAGCAATAGTGATACAGAATATGATAGTCCCCATCTATCCCCTTCAGCATGTGAATGTTATGTACCTTAAGTTTTTAAGACCATGATGTTCTCTTCCTTCAGCTGAGATGGACAAAGAAATTTTCTATCCATCCTTAAATATACATCAAAATATCAGCAGCTTCATAATCCTTTTTCTAATACCCTTTATTAATCACCACACCTCTACACTCACCTATTCATGTACTCACAATAGTGCTTACCTTATTACCCTTGACTTCTGTCTTACACTCCCTACTGCTTTGTAAGAGGTTATCTTACAAGAGAGGGCAATTGAATGGAATTGAATTGCTCAGAAAGTCTAAGAATCCCTTCTATGTATACAAAATTCAATATTGAAATTTGGTGGGGATGTTTTAGATATTTTTGCCACTTGTATGTGCACTTGCTGGAATCCACTTAGATGATTGGAAAAGATATTCTTTATCCTGCCTTCCCCTGCTCCTATTCATCATGTACCCCCACCCCCCTTATTCTTTCTAACAAGAATAAAGTCGGACTCCATAACATGTTTCTTCCCCACTCAAAACCCATCAGTATTTCCTGACTGCTGCCTGAATTTCAAATAAACATGCTGGGTTAACTTTGGATTGCAGGTTAACCTCAGACAGTTCCATTCTACCTACTCTGTATTCACATCAAACTGCAGATGTCCCGTGGTAGACTACTTGTGAAAACAATCCTTATTCTCCATCTTTGTGTATCTATTTCCCTCACAATATGACTTTACAACCCATCCCATAGAGAGGTAGAATCTATTTCCTTATTCCTTGAATAGCTGACTTGGGACTTGCTAGAGCCAACAGAATGCAGCAGGAGTGACTGTGTCAGTTCTAAATTGGGGTCCCAAGATCCCATCAGCAACATTCTACCTTTTCCATGAGAAAAAGCCCAGAGTAGTCTAATGAAGGATTAGAGACCACATGGTGTGAGGCTGAGTGTATCAGCTGAGACCACCCTAGACTAGACAGCCTGCAGCTGACCTGTCAGATAGTCCCAGATACATGAGTCATCTCTGCTAAGATCAACGGAGCTGGCTCAGAACAACAGAACTGTCCAGCCGACATCCATAATTATGAGAAACAATAAGGAGCTATCGTTCTAAGCCCCTACATTTTGGAGTGTTCTGCTAAACATCATTAGTGTAGCAATAGTGATACAGAATATGATAGTCCCCATCTATCCCCTTCAGCATGTGAATGTTATGTACCTTAAGTTTTTAAGACCATGATGTTCTCTTCCTTCAGCTGAGATGGACAAAGAAATTTTCTATCCATCCTTAAATATACATCAAAATATCAGCAGCTTCATAATCCTTTTTCTAATACCCTTTATTAATCACCACACCTCTACACTCACCTATTCATGTACTCACAATAGTGCTTACCTTATTACCCTTGACTTCTGTCTTACACTCCCTACTGCTTTGTAAGAGGTTATCTTACAAGAGAGGGCAATTGAATGGAATTGAATTGCTCAGAAAGTCTAAGAATCCCTTCTATGTATACAAAATTCAATATTGAAATTTGGTGGGGATGTTTTAGATATTTTTGCCACTTGTATGTGCACTTGCTGGAAAGAGACAGAAAGTGAGAAATCACGACCTCCCCCCACCCCGGGATTCTGGGGGAGATGGTTATGCGCAATCCCTTCTCCTCCCTTCTCCTCTCAGGATCTTGGACACACCTGCATACGTGCCCTGTAAGAGTTTTAAGCCTCCAGGTCCAAGACCCAAACCACAGTCACTATGTGGAAATCCAGTCACATAATCATTTCGCCATCTGCTGGTCCCTAGTCACTGTTTTAAATAATTTATTTTGCAGATTTTAAACTTAGCCCCTTCTCCAGAAAAAGATGTCCAAATTTATAATCTTAAATATCTCAGTAAAATATTTATTTGCCAACTTTGCTATACTACATATATTAGGTAAATTGAGGAAGATGCATATATAACTTTTAATTTCAAAACTATGTAAATATATGAATGTACTATTGAATGATAATTACTTTTCTTTACATATTAATTATTATATTATTATTTTAATGTAAGATAATGATTTATAACATACCCACACAATTTGTGCAGCTTAATTTCAGCTTTAGGATTTAAAGTTCATTTGAAGCCATCTTTTCTACTTTGACTCTTTTAATAAAGATCATTATTTAGAATTTGTGGAGGTTATGGTATTGTATGTAAGAAAAGAGATTCCTAGGAAAAACTCACATTAAAAAGTCATTATCTCTCATGTGTTCTTTGAAGAAAACAAGCAACACACTCATCTACAATGAGGAGCAGGTGACAGATAATAGTTAAGATTTAATAACTCCTAGGACAAACAATCTCAAACTCTGACATATTAATGATCACAAAAGTATAATTTTTTTTCTTTTCTTTTCTTTTGGTGGAAAGAAGTTTACTCCTGATATCTCTTATAGGCAATTCTGTTCACTCATAAGACCAGTCTTTCACCTGCCCATCTCCTCACTCTGTCTTGGGCCTCAAGGGGGGCCCAAGTGCATGTTGGGATGGTGGGAGATGGGAGGGTACCACTCTTAGTTCTTCCACAGAATTACTGTGACTACTTTACCTAACTCCTTATACAAATTTTTTTTAAAAAAATATGGATTTGCTTCCTCAATATGGTGTAAGGAATCAGAATTTTAAAAAATGCAAAATCTTAGTTAAAAAATAAATTTTAAAGAAAATATTATTATTAAAGGTTTATATAAATAGGGATCAGTTGGTGGTTTAGTGGTTAAGGAACTGGACTGCCACATGGCTGAATGCAGTTCAAGTCCTGTATCTGGTAGCTTGAAAATCATGCCAGGCACATGTGCATGCATGCCTAAAATCCCAGGAGAATGGAGGAGATGGGACTGTGACAAAGTTATCTCTTCTGAGGGGTGATTTTTCACTTTCCCTCTCACTTTCTCTCTCTGTCTCTCTCCAGTGAGCACAAGTGCTTCATGACCAAAATCAACTAACAAAGAAAAATTCATATATAAAACATGTGTGTTTGAGTTCAGGTAGAATTAAAGTGACAGATTTAGGACTCTATAGTATGGAGACTAATGTTTA